GTCTAGTACAGTATTAACCCATGTTATCAGTTTTTGATGAGACTTTTGGTACATTATTAACCCACATTAACAGTCATCTGATGAAATGTCTAGTACAGTATTAACCCATGTTATCAGTTTTTGATGAGACTTTTGGTACAGTATTAACTTGTATTAGTAGTCTTCTGATGAGACTTATAGTAGTTAAATGTGTGTCAGTGAAGAACTGAATATACCATGTATACATAATAATATATAATTTAATGCATCAGATATCTGAGAAATATATTAAGAAAATTTACTGTCAAACAGCAAACAAGATACTAGAGACAGGAAAGAATAAATACTGAAGATAAAAATGAGCATGCACAGCTTGACATAGTTGAATTGGTAGATTTAGTATTGTTTCAAAACTATGGACTTTCAGATCACATTGTGCTCTTGAGATGGAGATATTAATTACTATGGAAATCTCATGAATGATTGAAACTTGAAAAAGTTTTGGAAACTTGATTGATCAATAAATATATAGCTACATTAATTCAAAGATTTCAGTTCTGTTGATATAGAGGAACTTGATACATACAGTTCAGAAATGCTCCTCACCTTTCTGTAAACTCCTCAAACAAAGCTCCATATTGTATATATTGTGCCGGCCTATGATATAATTATTATACCATAGGCCTCTACCTGTAGAAAGGCAACACATCCTACATGTGCAGTAATCCTCATGAGCACTAGAATTTCAACATAGGATTATTTTGTCCTCAACACTGCTCGTCTTTAGATGTTTTTTTTAACCTTTTATTACTATTCATTGTGTGGTCTTTCTTTCCTTAGTCTTCTTGATTGTATGAAAGAATGGTACTAAATTTGAACTTTATCAGTTAGAACTTTCATTTGAATTATCCTCAATCTCATTTTCTTTTAATTTACTTTGTACTTTTGGGACACACGTCCCATTATCTGTTCCTGTTATTTATTACAACATATAGGTTTATTCCAGTACTTTTCAAGGTTGTCATGTCGGTCGGCTCATGTAACATCACCATACCTGGCTCATTTTCTTTCTAACTAATAACAAAAGAATAAAAACAAACGAAAATGTTGTCTTCTACATATTTTACAGAAATTAACCACTACAACATTGATTATGTGGATTAACTGGATTATACATTCATGTTCTCTTGTTTGTGACATTTACTGAGGTTTTTAGCAGTCTTTCAATAATGTAATGGCAACTGGTGACACTTTGGTGGGCAGTGATATTACCACCATTGTGTTGTGTGTGGTTGGTTCCATTCACATATTGCATCCAGGACCTTCTACCATTACTTTAGCTGAGACTGATCCACTTTGTAAATGTTTCACCACTGTTGTTTTCATGCCTGCTTTTGCTTCTTATTCCCTCTTCTTGACATAGATCAGGTAGGTAGTCCCACTTTCATCCATCAGATATTTGTCTTTTGTATTCTTTTTCTCCAGTTTTATTTTTGCTAAATGTTTGGCTCCCTTGTTGTATGAGCCTCATTTACTTGAATCTTCTTTCAGTTTAAGGATCTCCTATTTCTCATTTTCTTCTTCTCTTCATCTCTAACTCATCTTCTTTCTTAATTCTCATGCTTCACAACCTTGTCAGCTTTACTGAGGCACTTTGTCCTCAACTTTCTTTAATTTTGTCCCAGTTACCTTGGTTTTTTTGTTTCTAGGATGTACCTTGTCCATTTGCCTTACCTTCCGACTTTTGCCTCTGTCACATTCCTTTTCAGGACCTCTTTATGATGTAGTTTTTGGGGTTTCTCTTATACAATGCCATATTGAGCTGATGTAGCTTTCCAGCAGTTATCTCTGCTCTCTGTCATTTCTTGGGCTCAGGGGATCCTACCAGGGTTTCTTATTGTATACAGTTTTTCTGAGTCACCCACTTTTCTGTTCCTTGTCCTCTTGTTACTGTCCATGAGCCCCTCCCCCCTCTTCAAAAGCTGACTATCATGGGTCTTGGAGGTGATTTCTATCTGGAACCACCCCTTGATTCTGATTCTGAGGGGCTTTGCTCTCCGACTTTGACCACTGGTGAACTCCCTTTGTTACAGCCTATTGAGTTCTTCAAGTGCTTTCTCATTGTGCTCAAGGTGTGAGAACCATGAGTTAGAAATAACAGATGTAGTTTTAAATCTCTATGCTTAGACTTGTATTGGAGTATGTAAGCTCAGGATAAAGAAAGTTATTCATATTAATTATGTGATATTATATACTGAGTCAGTTGTGGTAAACGAATAACCTTGCATAACTTTTGGTGGAGTTGAATGAAATTGTAAGTGTGAATGGTTAAATACTTAGGCTTGTGTTGAAGTATATATAGTTATGTGAAGAATGTTATTTATATTGTGTATTGATATATAGTGTTAATATTATGTGATTTATACCAAGTCAACAACCACATCGTAGAAAACAACTGACTCAGAATAACTTGTGTTATTGTTCAATAAAATGATAACTCTGAAAGGTGGAATTCTTAGGTTGTGTTGGACTATGTAAGGCTAGGATAAAGAAAGTTATACATAATCTGTAGCTATTATGTTAATTTGTAAAATATTTTTTCTTAATATTCTCAAAAGTGGCAAAATTGTCATTGTTATAAATTTTAGTTCAAAATAAATTGTGCTTACCACAAAATGAGTACAATTTGTTGAAGGAAAAACCTCTATTGTTATTGTTCTAGCTCTATAGAATTTTTCACATTACAACAAATCTAATGAGTTATGATAGGTAAATTTTATAGAATATCTTCTTTGAGATGTTTGTGTCAGAAACTTTATAACTTGAAAATTACAATCTTCTGTTTTATTGTAAACCTTGATAGAAAATATTTGGTTAATAAAACCAATGTTTAATTTGAGGTAGAGTTCTTTCTTTGCATTATTTGAGGTCTCTCCAGTAGATACGTCAAAAAATGTTGATAGGTTTAGTACTTGATATGTCATCCATCTATCTGTTAATTTGTAAAGCTTTGTGGTGGTCTTTCTTTCGTAAGAAGTTGGGTGATATATTGGTATTCAAGTTCCAAAGAAAAAAAAATCTACCAGACTGAAGTTTCCACCCAGCAGTACAACCTGTGTGTGTGAAATGAATTTTTTTACAAAAAAATATGATTGCTTGTATTGAAGGAGGAAGTGAATATAAAAAGTAATAATCTTTATCGTGGATATTATGAACAAAAGCATTTTGTGCAAATTATCAATTTACTAGCATTGTCGAAGTCTTTTAATTGCAAACTTAAGTTTTTTACTGATCTTGTTTAAGGGTTGCTGAAATCAAATGTTTTGATAGTTTTGAAAGACTTAACTTTTATTTGCATTCCATGGAATTTTCATTAATATTGCACAATGATACAATTTCTTCAGACCATTACCTATTATAATGGATACATCTTTTGTTGTGGATTTGTGGCTCCGGCTGTGAATCTGTATTTATATAGTGAGTTGTGGAGTTTAGGAATCAAAAAAAACTTGGGAGTTACATTATTGTTAATATTTGTATCATTTGATAATATTGTTTGCATTAGATTTATCACAATTATAAATATATAAGTACCTGAAGGTTGTAATTCTTGAAGATGCTAAATAAATTTGTATAAAATGTAATAATATAAACTATTTTGCAAATAAACACAAAGTTATTGGCTGCTTTATGTGCTGGTGTTATAACGTATTTTTAATGTGTTCAAGTGATTGCATCAGAACTTTTATTTGTGTGTTTTCAGAGAATCTGCTGAATTTAGGTCCATTACTTATCAAAAATCAATTTTGAGGTTTGCAGTAATGTTTATTAATGTTATTTAGAACTCTAAAACCCTGTTATAATTAAAAAATAAGTTTCTGATGGGTTTTGGGGAGGAATAACATGACGAAAATTTAATGTTAAAGACTGCAGGTGGTGTATTAACATGTCCAGAATAATAGGTTCTATATTAGTAAATTCTATACTTTTGTCAATAAATGGAACAAAGAGGAATACTACTCTTGTTAGATTTTTTTAGCTTAGAATAAGTTGTTTTTTTTTACTTCAAGGCAACTTAAGGTGAATGGAGACTTTTACTTTGATATATTAGAATTAATTCCTCTGTTTAACTTAATGGTGTTTTAGACAAACTAGTTCTGTGTTGTTGTTTTTGTGGCTATAGGGATAATATTAGAAAATAATAATTAGTTGAAAATTTCAAATTTTGAGAAATGTTACCATCTTCTTTGAGTCATATCATATAGTCCAAATGGTCACAAGCTTGTTCATCCAGTAGTTTTCTTTATTCTTTGAGTCATATCGTATAGTCCAAATGGTCACAAGTTTGTTCAGCTAGTGGTTTTTCTTTATTCTTTGAGTCATATCATATAGTCCAAATGGTCACAAGTTTGTTCGTCCAGTAGTTTTTCTTTCTTCATTGAGTCGTATCATATAGTCCAAATGGTCACAAGTTTGGTCATCCAGTGGTTTTTCTTTCTTCTTTGAGTCATATCATATAGTCCAAATGGTCACAAGTTTGGTCATCCAGTGGTTTTTCTTTCTTCCTTGATTTGTATTGTATAGTCCAAATGGTCATAAGTTTGTTCAACCAGTAGTTTTCTTTCTTCTTTGAGTCGTATCATATAGTCCAAATGGTCACAAGTTTGTTCATCCAGTAGTTTTTCTTTCTTCTTTGAGTCATATTGTATAGTCCAAATGGTCACAAGTTTGTTCATCCAGTAGTTTTTCTTTCTTCTTTGAGTCGTATCGTATAGTCCAAATGGCCACAAGTTTGTTCATCCAGTAGTTTTCTTTCTTCTTTGAGTCGTATCATATAACTAGAGAGATAGATATCTCTGGATGTGTCTAGGAAGTGACACTCACATAACACTGGTATCTTCAAGATAGACATACTGTGGAAATTATGCAAGAGTTTCACCTTTGGTTGACTGATGTTCCATGGGAGATTTGCAGGATGTTGACCAGATCAAGCCTAGGAACAGTGTGCTGCACAAGTGTATGTAAAAGAGTGGTGTTCAGTTGCTTATTACAGACATAACAGTATCATGTAATATAGTTATAGAAGTTTTACATAAAATGAACTGTTTCCTGTCC